TCAATTTTTTTTTGAAAAATACAGACATACCAGAGTTGACGTGTAAGTGAAATTTTCTAACCCTCCCCGTATCGACCGCCAGTCCCCCTTACCACAACAATTTATCATTATCCCAGCAGCCTATAATTAGATCATTTTTTCTTCATTTTGTAGGGATAATGGTTGGGATATTTGATAGGCAGTTAATGATAATAACTAGACGCRTAACTGCGTAACCTCGGGGTTCTTGTTGATAAAATAGTAGTGAATTTGGTAAGGCTCGATCGTTTACACTTGCGTGTTTGCCATATATTTACTATATAATTCGCTTTTGATAAGATAGGTAGCTAGTTTGATAGACAATTCATGATATGCAGTAATATAARTATCACAATTTTGATAACTTAAAAGTCATTAGAGAAATTAAAAAAATAACTGTGCCTACGCCAACTTCGTTTTATTAAAAGAACATGAACAAATATCAAGACAATAACAACAATCTTATTATGTCATTTTACATGTAAGACAAAATGAAGATAAACCTCTTTTGACAGATTCGATGATAAACAACCCATCTTAGCTTTCTACTTTTGTTATGTAAGCGTCTTAGAAATCGTTTTGGTATCCTACTGGGCTCACGACTACGACTACAAGGTACATGTCGATAATTATAATAAACAAACCTTGAATAACGAGATCTTGTACTACTTGTAATATTTATTGTAACTTCTGCATCCTTGTATACACCATAAACAGTCATACAAATAGTTTTATCTAAGATATCACAATCACTAAACGATGAAGTGACAATATTTTGAGTGTAGTTATCGAAGAATTGGACTGTATTGAACCCTAATAAAGTTAATATCAATACTATCATAAGGGTAAAGCAAAAAATATTTCCTTGAATGAAAAATAATAACAGAAGCAATGTAGTTAGCATTAAGGAAGAATTGATAGTCTTTGTCAAGCTCTCCTCACTTTGATAGTCACGTGGCAGGCTATAAAGACAGGGTCTTTCTCTGCTAAATAAAATAGTTGCAATCGTCGGTTTTTCCTCGGTGAATTCTGTTCACATTCCTTAGAGAAGTCCTTTGTATTTTCAGAGCCTGTAGAATCACTTAGTATAGAGTTCGCTAAGATTGGTTCGAATTTCACGATAAGTTTCACGATAAATTTCAAGATAAATTCGCGGTATCTCTCAAAATGCCCTTTCGAAAAACTCTCGACATCTTTTAGTGTGGCTATACCGCGAATGGTGTGTGGATTTGTAAGAGATTTGAGAGTGTTTGAAGTTGAATATATGTCTTCCATCGTATAAAGACGACACCTCGACCACATGGAAGTTGTGAATGTCACGTGATTCGTACCCAGTGCATTCTAGTTTGGCCGAGACAATTTGTGTACCAAATGCGACGACTACCATGACAAAGAAGGCCGAAACCTAAACTCGCGGTTCCTGTGGAACCCCGAGTAATAATTGGTTCACAGTATAAACAGATAAAAAAGTGTTTTATTTGGTTCAACAACAACAAAGGCAAACAAAGAATATCAAATGTATAAAGTGAACAATAGATGCATTAAATGTCCAAATGAACTGCATATCAAATATCAAATATCATAATCCTTATCCCTTCAAAATGAAGAAAGAATGGTCCAATTATAGGCCCTGCACCATTCACTGGATGCTTGACGAAATAATTACGGTTTGTTCTGACAATTTTTCGAAAAAAACATCGACTGCCTGTCGTTGTCAAAAAATCAGTCAAAAAATCTGAAAGTGCCSTGCTTGTGGCTATACAAACTTGTCGAACAGTATTGTTTTGGTCTTTATTGCATTTCCCTTGTTGTATTAATTGAAATTACTGTTGTTCAGACGATTTTTTAAGAAAAAAAAATTAGACTGCCTGACGTTTAGTAGACTCCCCGCAGCCGTTTTCCGGTGTCGTCTCCTTAAGAGGATTAAGGAGACGACACCGGAAAACGGCTGCAGCAGGGAGTCTAGACGTTTAGACACTCCGAAAAAAAACACAGCATAAACTCTAAATTTGCATATTGATTTCGACGCAGGACTAAGATGATCAAAAATTCTGATCTTGTCCTTGTTCTCCCATTCAATATTACTTATTTCTTTCCTTGATCTCATGACAGATTCTTTAGCAAGGCGTCTGGTGAATTTACATATAATCGTTGGCGGGAAGTTCGAAGCTCTACGGTGCGGCACACGGTGTGCGATGTCGATATCTTGTTCTGTAACTTGAGAGTTGATTGAATTAAAGAGTTTCAAACATTTATCTGTTGTTTCTTGGGCGGTTTCAAAACGGTTGGTTTGAGGTATTCCGATAATCTGCAGGTTGTACTGATAGCTGTAGTTATTTATGGCGTCCATTGGCTTCGTCGACTTTCTTCAAGACATCTAAGTCTAGACGATATTCTTGTTAACTCTCTCTCGATGTCAACTTTAAACGATTTCAAATCGTCATATTCTTCAGCAAGAAAGGTGATACTTTTGTCCATTTCGTCTACTTTTTCTTGATTGCTAGAATCCTTGGATGTTACGAGCCCACTAGATTGCTGTAACATTAAGTTCTTTTAAGCCTTTTAGCTCTCGAGTCACTTCTTGTACTTGTGATTTTAATTTGTCGTTTTCTTTGCTTAGTTTCGATGTACTACTACTCTTAGACATTTTAAAGACGTTTTAAAATTCTGAGAAATTGAAATTAGATATTTTTTAGCTGAGGAGCTAATTTGGACGCGTCCGTCTCGTTCGACTTCTCCCCAGGTCTCCCTTAGCATTGTTATCTAATCAAAAGCACTACAAAATCGCCGTAAAAATCTCCAGTGTAAAGGGTCTTTTTGCTTTAACATTTGTATTTAAAAGTAATTTTTCAAATTAACTTTCCTTGAAATAKTAATTGTATTGTACCTCTTCATTATAATGAGGTTTTGCATTTGCAGTTCTTTTACGACGATCTCTGAGTCTTTTGTCTCGTGTCGTGCTCTGAAGGATATACTCCATGGGAGGGTCCTCTTCAAAAAATAAAGATAGATAAACRAGTATATATTAGTATACCAGTCAATCAGTTGGGTTGTCAGTCAGTGAGCCAGTCATCGTTCAGTCGATCAATACCTTTTAATAACGGTAGATATGACGTTCCTTTACTCGATGTGTAGGTTTTGTACAAGTCAATATCTACGCTATGTTCAGTTGTATGCGATGTTTCCGTTGTAGGTACATGTGGGTTAGTAACTTTAGGCAGCTCAGAAAACCATGTAGTATCAGTGATATGATTGACATCGTCATAAAATTCAAAGTCTTCGATTCATTGCCAGAAATTTGGGACATTTATCAAAAATTGCTATTTTTAAGAAAAAAAGTACAAATACGGCTTGAAAAGACATACTAGTACTAAATAAAGGCTTATAAAACAGAAATATGATAATATAGAGCGATTTTACAAA